GAAGAGCGATGGGTAACCTCAAAGGTTCATCAAAAAGTATGGAAGATCTGAAGTCACAAATGTAAAACAAATCAAAGTGGGTGAAAAGGCAATCTACATTCAGCTTGGTTATGAAGATGAACACATTGCAGCGATGATCAACAGAAGGCCGAGTTCATCATTAGCCATAGCCTATCCTGTAACTAAGCTCGTCCCCGCCTATCGAAAAACTTGCTCTTTGGTGCAATCAAAATTCGATAGGTATCCTTCTCATGTTAACTCCAACTGTATATAAAAATTTACATGCTTATGCGGGAGCAGCTACATTGGAAGGACAGAAACAAGGGCATATCTACGATTTTCTGCATATGTACCAAAAAGTTTACGTCTAAAAAGAAAAAATGCTTCAAACAGTGCCATCGCCAGGCATCTCCTTGACACGCATCATGAGATGGACGTTGCGAAATCGTTCAAAATTATCAATAGGCAAACGAGCTCAAGTTTACTGAAGCCATTTTCATCAGGCGCCTGAAACCTGATTTATGCATCCAGAAAGAAGCGGTTATCAGTCTTTCTTTGCACTGGTAACTGGATATTTTCATCCCTCTTTCATCTGAATGCGAAACGCTAAAAGTTTCCATTGTGTAAGATTATTATTGTTCGGAATAGTGTTTAATATTACATATGTATATATTATTACTGTATGCATATATTGATCGATTGATTTTTGTTTAAAATGAACTCTGTGCCAGTATGTTAAAATTGTTCTTGTAGATATATTTAATAATGTCTTTGCCCTGTAAGCATCTGATGAGAAGGCAACAAAATAGAAGATGGTACCATTTCATTCTGCTAAAACTGTAGTTCTTGCTTTGTTCAAATGAAGGTTTCATAAATTTCAGTGTAAAAAAGAGGACACATAATCTGTTCACTATTATCACTGCCCAATAATTTTAACTCAAACACTGCAGTACAAGGAATTTACATGAAATTGTCATCTTCAAAAACAGCTGGTTCAAACACAGTCAGTGTTGTCTTAAAAGATTTCCTTCTTAGAGTAAATTTGTCTTTTGAACTACTGACAGTGTTGTTAAACATGCTACTGCAGCATCCGAAACATCTAGGAAAATTAACTGGCTTCATCTGGGTATTCAGTGATTGTCTGTAGTTTACTTAGACAGATGGTGTCACTATTAAGGTTATAGAAAATAACACACAAGAAATAATGACCTTATTATCAACGAATAATGTATTATTTAGATTAGGAAAGTCATATCGAAGAACGAAGTGGAATTCGTAGACTTTATTAATGTAGGTGGTGAAAGTCTACACTGAGGATTATATGGATATTAGGAAGACTTCATTATCAAATTGATGTATATGAAAAAGCGTCTGTTTACTGTAGTATTGTTCTGACAAGATACAACTACTTCTATTGTAAATCCACTAAGGCATTCAAGACCCTGTGTGCGACATAATATCTAAACAACTAATTATGTTTTGAGTGTAAAACGACTCTGCTGTGAAATATTTATTTTATACATTTCTACTTACTTATTTTAGCATAATACGAGTTTATTTGATAATTTCCTTCAACTTAAGCAATAATTTGATAATGTCTGGAGGTTGCATGGCAGACAGTTTCATGAATCTAAGCGGAATCACTGATGTCTGGCAGTTTTCTTTTAAAAATTTATGATTGTGAGCAAATGAAATTTCTTAGGTGAGCATGTTACACCAAAGTAAGTCTTAATAATTTCAAGGTGACAGGATTTTTCACATGAGCCACCTATGTATTTATTCTCTTAGATTCACTTTGACTTTAACTCGACAGTGTGCTTTGCACATCATTTTACTTCATGTTCCCGATCTTCTTTTTAAAAAATGTTCCTTTCACCTTATCTAACCTTTAGATTTAGCTTAACTTCCTACAGTAATGTGATCAGTATAATGACCTGTTAAGTCAACTTCTCTGCCAAGATCTTACACTTAAACAAGAGTTGATAAAGTCATCATTGCTTGACTACTAGCGGTAGATTGAATCAGTTAACATTTACTGCCTTGAGAATATGTTTCAGGAGAAACATTAATGACGTCAATAAGTGAGGCGAAATACATTGTTCTGAGTTGTTTTGGTAGTCCAATTTTATTGATCGATAAATGTTGTGTGTTCAATAAAGTTAGGGTTGAATGTCAAAAAAAGTAATTACTGGTTAGCTGTGTATTTAAAATCGAGAGTAATTTTGTGCCGTATTTTCCCGACTACCGTAATTATTGGGTTTCTTCCTTATAGACTTAACAATATAACTACACTTATAAGCTCTTAATTGACTGGTGAACGGATTTATTTAGCCTAATATTCCAAAAATGAATCTGTTGCTGTTACACAGATATGTTTCAGTGATTTAATATGAGTTCCTTTGGAAATCTAACCTATGAAGTCAATACATTTTGATGAAGGCAGGTAGGAAGAATTGTTACTATACATTATTTTAGAAGATAAAAGATATGAAGATTTTAATTAAGCAAATGGCTGTAAAAGTAAGACTGGCTGGTTATAAGTTACAGATCCTTTTAAATCTAGGAGCAAGTTTTTGCGTTAACCTCAAAAGAGGCGAGCTGATGTGCTGAAAGTTTTACCTAAATAAACATTTTGTTTAATTAATTCAAGCACTGATGAGTAGTGACGTTTCCTTTCCACATTCAAATAATGATTTACTCAGAGTTGGAAGAAAAAACATTCTAGTTTCATATGAACTGTGATCAAGATTTAACCGGATTATTGCAAAATGATTGAGCGCCGAGTGAGAAGTAGACATTTATAAAATTATATTTGTAAAATCTCAACGAGATTGAAATGATTAATTCCAACGTTTCGTTCGCCAATCTGGTCTGAACTTCTTTAGGGAAATTAATCGAAATTAACATAATAGAGGTTTATACATAAAAGGAACATCTCTTGTTTTTAAAAAGGTTTTTTCCAATCATATGAGTCATAAAACAGGTATCAACATGTATAATAAATAAAATTGTATGTTTATATATAAAAGTACATCTCTTGTTTGTCCTGTCATATGAATCATGAAATAGCTATCAACATTCTAGTTTCTTTCTAAATGATCAGCAGTAAAAGTTAAAGTAAACTGAAAAAGAACGCCTTTTCCAGTAAAAATCTGAATGAAGTAAGCAGGAAATGTGTAAAATTCCACTATACTGTATTTGGCACGTACTTTATATGATGAAAATAGTGTTAGGCGTGAACTAACTAATCTTCTTTGCACTACTAAATAAACCACTTCTTCCATCCTTACAGTACCAAACTCTATTGTTATTGTATTTCTTATATTTATAATCCTCTCAATTTTTTGTTTTTATTTATTTATTTATTTTCATAAGTGTGAACATCATTTAAGCTGTGTTATAACCGTTATTTTTCGTTTCTTTCCCCTCACCATACTGTATCAACAGAACATTAGATTCAATACTCCATAACATATTAAAATTTCCAAAATGAATCGACAATACTGTTTGAAACAATCTCACTGTTATTATTATTCTTGTAATATTTATTATTCTCATTTCGTACTTCGAATATTTTTGACTTTATACAGTAAATGTGAACAAATTTCTCTGGCTAATTTTGTTTTAATTTTTAATTTTGTTTATATTTTAAGTAAATCAGATGCAATATTGTGATAAATGCTGAGAATTCCATTCTGTATTATAAGTACTGTTTTTGGAATAAAGTAGATTATTATTATTATTATTATTATTATTATTATTATTATTATTAAGAAGCTAGTGTCCAGTTCACTTATAGACTATAAAAGAATTTATCAGGTGAATACAGTCGGCATTTTGTTGCAAATTACAGTCCTACACAGCAACATGCATGCAAAAGTAAACTGCTACATCAAGTGGAGATGTTAAAGAGCTTGAAGCTGATATGATAAAATGTATGGTACAAATACTGCAGATTAGAGTTTAGTTGCCTTACAGTGAAGAAAAAAGTCAGCAACTAAGTATAGACTAGTTACACTAAAATGTCAATGGAATCGACGGTCTTTAGAAGAAATACCACTGATGAATCTGTTGCGAATTAGAGCTAAGGTAAGCCCTTGAACAAAGAAATAAGATAAGTGTGTGTGTGTGCAAACAATCCGGAGCATTCGACAGCAGTAGCAGTAGTAGCTGTAGCTCGAAGCAAAACTTCAACTAGATAAGTCATATGGTCTCAAAAAATTATCAGAGAAATTTTTTCGAGTAGTTAGAGACTTGATAAGCAGACGTAAACTGCATAAGATTCTGTGGCTGTTAGTATTTTCTTACTTTCTCGTCCTAGTTTGGGACTTTTCAGCAGTACGCACCCATCGGGATTCGAACCGACAACAAGGCGAGCTCGTAGACCATTGAGCCGCTGGGACCCGATTCCGATGGCCTATGATGACACTAGACGTGTGGACAATGTTAGCATCGTATTTATAGCTCGGGTGTTTTTTCTACAACTTCTTTATCTTCCTTCTTAGTGTTATTGAATTATTTGGATGAGTATTAGGTATAGGAACAAATAGTGGCCCTTCCTTACAACTCACGAGTTTCCTTCGATAAACCCATTCAGATCAATTTACAGAGATGAATATTTTAATGACATAATTGAGTGAGCTTTTTTCAGTTGTTGTCACACCTTAGTTCGTAGTGCTGAACTTCTAATATAATACAATCAAATTCTGTTCTCTTTGTAAAAGTCTTCTTTACCATGAATTACTTAAGTCCTAATGCACACTACTTTCACTGTCAGTTTTCAAAGTCCCTCTACAAACACTTTCTTATAAAGGTACTTATGTTTCACCCATTCTACGGGTGAATCAAACAAAATATGAAGAATTTATTAGTTTTATTTAAGTCTTTAGTTCAGTTTCACCCTGCTTTATACAATTTTGTGGATCATTTTTCAAAAGCAAAAGAAATTTTCAGAAAATCTTTTGACCGATCAATCGATAATAATAAAAAAGAATACTTACCAGGTTGATATCTACGCACAGATCCAATATCACTGTGAAGTTCAAAGCCTAATTCAGATCCTGTAGGATTTCGAACATCCACTTTTTTGTTTGACAGATGAGAGGTACTTGATTTAGGGCTTCTGTGAATAGTCAGAATAAACAATAGGAAGTTAGTTGACATTATAGATTTTAGTAATTTAATAATGTTAAACAGAACAGGTGTAAAATACTTAAGTCCTATGAATTGAATAAATCTAAATTGGATTTATTTCAACAAATTTTCAACTCTCTCATTTATCGGATAAAAAGACCAGTTCGATGTATTTCAGAACTTTTAATTTTAACCAAGTAAAACTATAAAAGTCTTTATGCACAGTATGTAAGTAAATTTCATGATCAGTTTTCAACAAGAAAACCTTGCATTAAGAGGATATTGAATGTCACTTTGGAAATAAGTCAGAATTAGAGTTCAAGTCTATTGACGAAATCACCAGAAGAATGTATATCTTTGGGATTCTACCTTGAATTCTTGAAAATAGAAGTCAGATGTTGTTCACTTGGCGTACAAAAGAAACCTACTGTTATTATTATTATTCCCTTGGGTTCCGATTGGAACATAGGGCTTCAACAACACATCTCCACTTTGTCCTATTTGGTGCTGTCCTCTTCAACTGGGTTCACGTTTGACCATAATCTTTCATCTCCTCTTCCCCAAATGATCTTCTCCATGTCACCTTCGCATCCACGACACACTCAAATCTCCGTGTTGGGATTCCACTCTAGCGATGACCTGCATTGCACGTGGTGTCATTCGACGGCCTCTCAACGTGTGCCCGATCCATCTCCACTTTCTCCTACATATTTGTTGAGCAGTCTGCGCCTGGTTGGTTTGTTTGAAGCCATAGTTTCTTGGCGCTAATTTTTCCGCCAGCAAGCTTGGCAGCGTTCCATAAAAGTCTGCAACAGGCTGTTGGAAATCCTTTTCTTGACTGACACGCAGTGCCAGTTTCTGGCCCGTATAGAACCACTGACCGGCTTGACATTGGTGTTGAAAATCTGAATCTTCTTTCTAATGCTGGCTGAGTGAAGCAAACAATTTCCTAACTAGTTACAGGTTGATGAAGGAGTGTCTTGACTTTCTGATTCTGACTGGTTGGCTTTATTATCGTCATCCGTTCCGCTGGCCTGTAGTTGAAACTATGCTTCCTAGATAAGTGAAGGAGGTAAATTCTGTGAAATCTCTTCCGTTGATCATCATTGATGCTGGTTGTTGTTGTTGCTGTCAGCTGGTCGGTCATCTTCATCACCTCCGTCTTCTCTGTGTTCACCTACAGTGCTGTGTTCGCTGCCTCTTCAATCAGTTTGTTGGTTTGCTCCTGCAAGTCTTCTAGTATGTGTGATATTAAACATTAAGCGTCTGTGAAATCCAGATCTTCCAGAGTTTTCTTATCGATGGTCCAACGTATTCCGGTCTTCTCGCTCCCAATTCACATTGTGCCGCATAATCATCGGTGATAATAGACAGGCAGGCTTGTCTTACTCCTGCATTCACTTCCAACTCCTCGCCGAGTTTTCCGTTGTGGATCACCTGGCATTGTCGTATAGTCAGCTGCTGAATGAGGTTGATAAAGGCTTGGGGTACTGCCCGCCGTAGTGTTGAAGTTGTTTCCAAAATACTTCTTGGTCAACGCTGTCTGGTGAAGCAAGGCCTTTTCTAAGTGAATGAAATTGAGGTTGAGGCTTGACTGCCATTCTATGCTTTGTTCGGCGACAATGCGTAGTATAAGTGATTATTTCATCGGGAATCAAATGAGCCCTTGAGAGAACTCTTTCCGTATCTGTAATGACCTTATTGTATAACACAAAGTGCTCATTAATTCATTTTAAAGAAGACAAATAATCTATTCATTTCATCGTCAGTTAGATCTGCTCATTCACACTCACTAGGGGAAGTAAGTAAACAAAAAGTGTTAAGAGGAAATAATCTTTTGCCTAAGTAGAGATGTTCGAAACCGTATACAAAAAAACAACAACTCATGACCGAGGTCACTTAGATAGAACTCAGCTACTTGGAACGAAATTTTCAAGTACCAGGCCCTGATGATACCACTAACTCTCTCAAGCTTAATTAAGTGGAGTGGGATCTAAGATTGAGTCATACTGACTCAAATTTAAGCTCTAAAATCAATGAAGCACATCTCCACCAAGGTGTCGTACAGAAGTAAAATGAAGATATTACTGAAATTACTTAGCTTTAACGGAAGCCACTGTAACCAAACAGCTTTAACTTGACCTTTTGAAATGCCTACTTACTCTAGGTGTATACTTTTTGAATGTATTACATCCTACTCGATGCCTTTTATTTAGTACGTAAATTTATTTTTGTACATTCCAATTTATTCGTTTGTTTACATGGTGTTTTGCTTATAACTACCATCAATGGTTTGCATTTCGCCTAATTACTTCTCTAACCGGTTTGTGCACTAGTTTTCCTATCATGCATAAACAGACATTCATGTTTTGACCACTTTAACATATCCACTTTGTGTGTGTATTTTTTAAATCCATCGGTGCACTGTGAGCTATCGACTTCTTTCTTGTTTTAAACAGTTAGAGTGTCTCACTTACTTAAATGTTCCTCAAAAAAAAACAACTTTTGTCCTTAAGCTTGTTATGATCTGATGTGAAAAGCTTTGAAAAAATAAGCTCATTTCAGTTTACAAATTTCTTTGCACTGATTTTATACAAATATATCGCCGAAACCGTGTGAATAAATAAAGATCTGAAAATTGTTTAGATATTCAAATATATAAGTCATTTGAAACATTTTAGAGTAAGCACAGGTGGTCGTTAGCGGATTTAGTATAGTATATCTTTCCGACATGTATCCGATGATTATTGCAGACTGATGCCGACTGCATGACCACTTAAGAATGAATTTCAAAGCTCTCAGCAATTCAAACTGATAACTTTTTTTCGCGTTTGACCACGGATTGATACCAGTTAGAGAAGCATTGAAACTCGGAAAAAAAACAAATCTAATACTTAAAATCAACTCTTGAAAATTAACCTGATGTTCGCTAGTGAGTTGCTATAAGACGGAGTTTCTTAGAGTTCTAGTAAGAAATCTTGACCAGTGAGGTCCATCCAGTCAAGTGTGAGGATGGAGTTCCTGTCGTTGACATGGGTTGGTGGTAGTGCTAAAGCACAAACTGGTAGAAGTTAGAATTCATGGACTAGCCATTGAATCGGTTCCCAGTGGGTGCGTACTTCCAGTGATTCCCAAACTAGGATAAAACATCTGTCCTGTACTCTCTGGTTTCCAATGGTTCTCTAACTGATATCAATCCGTGGTCAAACTCGAGAAAAGCAAATCTAAGCCTTGCAAACCAAACTGTTGATAACTTTGTGACAATCATGAATACTCCCCATCCAGATTTTAATGAATAGAACAAAACAAGTAGTTTAGTGAAAAGGCTCTTTTGGCAACTAATCGAACTCAAATCTCTGAAATTGGAATTCACTAGGCTACAAATGTACTTCTTACTAATTTAAAGTGTAGCGTCATCGTCATCCAACTTAACCGGAGAGTGACTGCCTTCATATTAGTCGATGACAAACGCTTATTAGGTTCCTTGAAATCTTATCATAAAACTAAACACTATTAAGTAATCAGTCTATATTCAGGTTTAAAATGCTTTTTTTATCTATTAATTTCAAATTTCTATACAACTCAGTTGTTTCGTAGAGGATTGAATTTGTAAACTGCTTAACGTTCAGTTCATTTCCTTTCACCACCTTGATTTTCTTTGTCTTCATGGTCTTCATCCCCTCAAAATTCACATAGGTTTAATGGATTATTGTTTCGTTCTAATCCCAATAGAGGAGTATATATTTTGTTGGTCACTGGGTAGTAACCAATGTCATGTCAGGCTCAGAGGCTTCCTACAGATTGCTCCAACTAACTGGAGGATTCTATTTGCTGTATTTCATTTCATTCCTTTGCTTTCTGAGTGTAAAGTAGGGCTTTAAGCTTGAGCTTTGAAGTTTCAGCTGCAGTGATGATGTTCTAAAGGAGTGGGGTTGCTGGGCCTCATGCCCAACCCTCCCTCTAATGGGATGACAAGATGAGAGTTAAGACTGCTTCAGCTGGGAATCTTACCCTGGACCAAGTGTCAGTGGCTGGCGAGAATTGTACCACTGAACTACTGACACACACAAACACACACACACATGTATGAGCTTATGTGGTGTAAAAAATGCTCCACCATCGACATGAAATATTAGAAGTAAGCGATTTTCAAATGCCAGAATAATTAATATACAATGTTGTGTAGAAATGTGCCTTTGTTATCATTATTAATAAATGATAAATAAAATGCATATGGGTATAAATTGATTTGCAGAATACTGTTGAAAAAGAACTAAATACTTACTTTTTGATATTCCAAAACTGTAATGAACCTGTAGAAAGAATGAAGAACATATGTCAAATTTAATACTTCACACTTTCATTGACAGAAGAATTATCTAACATAACAAATGAAAAAGAAAGCTGCTATCAAAGTAATAGTTATTCAGCATATTTGGTTTCAACATGTATTCTCACTTCGTGTTTTACTCGATTACTTATCCATTCATTGTCTACCTTCTGATATATATGGACATTCTCTCGTATTTATATGAGAATAATCTTTTCAATTATAATCAAGTGGATGAAGGCTAAAGCTTTTGTTTCACTGGATCGCCTGATTCTAAGCTTGATTTCACGTCATGTCAACAGAACAGACTACTGAAGGATTTTACGCTAGAATACAACCATTTCCCAGCAGTTCAGTGAACTATTTTGATTTGTTACATAACACCTAGCCTAAATAAAACAGTAGGTATATACGTGAGTTTTACTGCTGAAAAAAATAAAAGACAATTCGATGAAATCATCCTCAGAGGCTGTACAGTCGTATTTATATGCACCAAAAATGTATAGTAATCCACCTGTGAATAATAGGGGGTGAAATAACTGGTTTAATTACTCAGAAGTCGCCTTAGAAATGAGCTACGGATAGATTTCTACAGCTGACAAATGATTAATAGGTGTGTGAAGATTAAATCACCACTTCCATGTGTGTCTAGAAATTCACCTGCTCGTGTGGAGCTAGATATATTGGCCGCACAAAGCGCACACTTTTCAAACGCATCTGTGAATATTATCTATCAGGCATGGTTAGCAAGAGGAAAATGCAAGGCAGTTACTAGCTCAATTATCGAGCACTTGGTGAACTGAAGATAAATAGCTCCACTAGAGTTGTCTTTCAAGATCATCTATAAGATGAGACCAAATGGTACAAAGGGCATTAGTTTCCGGTGTTTGTGTATGATGGAGGCGTTGGTGATTCGTCAATACAACCCTGAACTCTGTATATAGAAATGGTCTCTTATTCCAGCATGGTCGTAATCTCTTCACTAGTGGTTCCCTGTTAACAAATTCTATTTTCAATTTTACTTTTAATTTGCTTTAGCTTTAATAATCAATTCACTATTGTCACACTCGTGTGTTCCTTTTGTACATTATCACACACTCTTCACAGTTGTTAAATTGACACTCAACTACCTTCATTCTCACACAATAACAATTTTAACTTTATGAAATTTCTAACCCTTTCTTTCTTTGTGCCGTTGAGTATTTCGTGACTTAAAACTTGTATTTTTACTTTTGAAGCCACTTATGAGTAATTATATCAACTGTGTCACCCCACCCATCCTTTATCACTCAACAATGGACTAATATACATTTTTTTGTAAATATTTTTTATATATTTTTTTATTAAAGCTTGATTCCACACTGTATTTTCGGTATAAGTGTGAAATTTTCGGCATGTGATATCGGTAGTCCAATTTCGCAGGCCGACCATTGATATCGGGTGTGCGTCGGCAAGGGATTGAACCCCGGACCATGTGCATGGTCGGCGAGAGTCCTAACCACTAAGCCACCGACACAACTGTACGACTGTACAGCCTCTGAGGATGATTTCGTCGTCGGTAAAAACAATTTCCTTCGATGAATTCTCTTTTCAAGTATTGGTTTTTGTAGGGATTTTGTTTGATTGCATGGAGGATTTAATCATGAGCTGACATCAGTTAGAGAACCACTGGAAAACCTGGGAGTATTGGACAGCCGTTTCGTCCTAGTTTGGGACTCCTCAGCAGTACGCACCCACCGGGATTCGAACCCAGGACCTTCTGGTTACAAGGCGAGCTCGTAGACCATTGAGCCACTGGGACCCGATCCAATGGTCCTTGAATTCTAACTTCTGCCAGTTCACGACATAGCGCGACCACTTCGCAATGTCTTCTTCGATGAGTTACTGCCTCATCTTCGACCTGCTGTACCCTACTGGTCACGGCTTCCCACTAGAACCCCAGGTTAACTGCCTGAATAGGGCCAGTCACTAGTGAGCATCAGACGAATTTTCAAGTATTGGTTTTTGTAGGGATTTTGTTTGATTGACATTGCGAAGTGGTCGCGCTATGTCGTGAACTGGCAGAAGTTAGAATTCAACGACCATTGGATCGGGTCCCAGTGGCTCAATGGTCTACGAGCTCGCCTTGTAACCAGAAGGTCCTGGGTTCGAATCCCGGTGGGTGCGTACTGCTGAGGAGTCCCAAACTAGGACGAAACGGCTGTCCAGTACTCCCAGGTTTTCCAGTGGTTCTCTAACTGATGTCAGCTCATGAATTGTCTTTTGTTTTCTTCATGACTCAATGGGTATTCCCAGTGGTTTACTGCTGAACTTAGCAATAAATCTATCTTTGTTTAATAACTATGGACTGAGTAAATAATTTAACTGATAAAATATGATTTACTGTGTTAAATAATAAATACTTCAGTGTTAACTGATTGATTCTAGAATAAAAGTTCTTATGATACAAAAGTCAATCAGTATTAACATATTTACACTACATAACCATCATCTTTCAACATACTTTGAAAAGGCCACTCTTAATTAACCTAAGAATAAAAAGTAATGACAACTACAAAAAAAACCACAAATTTCTGATAAATCAAGGTAAATTGGCATGTTAAGCAAAATAAACAGTTCTAGGCATTATTTTTTTTAATAAAGAGGATGGAATTTTCTTCAAACAGAGGTACATCTGTCTATCAGCACTGCTGATAAAAAGAATATGATGATGATGTCATATGACTATATCTCAATATAGAGTAGAATGCATTTTAATTAGTGCAAGTATAATTTCTTAAAGCTGGTAAATAGCAGCCGTAGTCACTGGTGGTTACTATGAATCTAACACTGGTAGGGTTCAAAGCATATGGTGAATACATAAATTATGTATCATTTTAAATGTAAGAATACATTTGGTATCCTCTACAAACTTCCCTGGGCGTCGGTGGCACATCGACCACACCTCATGTGGTCCTTGGTTCCATCCTTGGCCAAAGCACTCCCACACTTCGCTTAGCCAGTAATAAGACTAGTAAAGAGGGAAGGTTAGGCTGGTCATGAGGCTAGCAACCTCATCCCCTAAAAATAATCACCATGGCTACCGAAACTTCAAGTCTCTAGCTATAAGCCCTATGTTCCAATGGGAACGCACAGGAATAAAAGAAACTTTCATACGGTCGTTTGATTATCTTACCTCAAGTTATGGCTCCTGACGTGATGCTATAACCTATATTATGATTGAATCTATCTATGTATTACCTAGTGACGTATATATATATATATATATATATATATATATATATATATAAGAGTCGAAATTAAAATTATGCGCTTTTTATCTACGTTCACCTCTTTTTTAAACCGTTTTGTAAACAGATTTATTCCCTAATTTACGCTGGAAACCACCGTTTTCTTAGAATAAAGTAAATGAATTCAGACAGGCTGAAAATAAAGGTATATGACATCTTTAAAGGTCATTCAAGTACACTAGATTGTCTGTCTAAATTTTACTTCATATATAATTTTATTTTCAAGAGTTAGTTTGTACAGACTTGATTCGTTTCAGCTTTGACCATGGATTGATATAGCTTCGAGAACCATTGAAAGCTGTTTTTTCGTAATTTGTGTCTCATCGACAGTACACATCCACCGGTGTTCGGAAACAGGACCTTTTGGTTACAGAGCTGGCTCGTAGACCATTCAGCCAGTGGGACGTGATTCAATGACTTATGGATTCTAACTTCTACCGATTTGTGACAGATATCTTCATGTCAGTGTATTTAGAGTGTCAAACTACAGTTCTTTTAAAACAAGTTATAAAGCTCGAAAGCCTTCACTCCATAGAGCAGCTCATCATAATCATTTACATCCCATTTAACTACTAATACCTAACTTTATTTGTTGCATTTCAGTTGACGTACAGTGCGTTTCAAAATCATTTGACTCCAGTCGTAGACAGTTCATTGAATTAAGTTATTTTTTCTGCATAATATTTTAAAAATTCCTTTACTTTCCCAGTGGAACATAGGGCGCCTTCAAGCTAAAGGCTTGAAGTTTCGGTAACAGTAGTGTTTATTTTCACAGGATGCGGGTGCTAGCCTTATGCCTAGCCCAACCTTCCCTCTTTACCGGTCTTATTACTGGCTTAGCGAGGTAATGGAGTATGTCGGCTAGGGGTCGAATTCCGGAGCACATGAGGTGTGGTTGGCTAGCATTCTAGCGATGTACCACTAACGCACAATACACACACACACATACATATAGCAATTAATACAAGTTATGTATTCATTCACTGAACCAAAGTACTCGCGATATTCTCATGTAAAAAACAGATAAAATAATAAGTTATTAGTATTTATTTAATTGAATTTTAGATTTTCCCGTCGATTTATTTATTATTATTATTTTGAATTTTACATTTTCAATATTATTGAGAGTTTACTGTTGAGGTTAGTCATTTCAGTTTCCATTTTTAAAACAAATCTCGTACAATGAACGAATGAGGATAGATGTCCCACCGACGACATTGGTTTGGGTTCGCGCTAAATCACGAATTGGTAGAAATTAAAATTCATGATCCATTGAATTGGGTTCCAGTGGCTAAATGGTATACGAGCTTGGCTTATAACCGGAAGGTCCTGGGTTCGAACCCTAGCGGTGGGTGCGTACTGCCGATGATTCTCAAACTGTCCAGTACTCCCTGGTTTTCAATGGTTCTCTAACTGATATCAATCCCTGATCAACTCGTAGAGACATATATATATGTAGCAATTAGTTCATACAAATTGTATATGTATATATGTAACAACTTTGAAGCAATTATTCCTTTAAAACGAAAGAATTTTAAGCTCAGAGAATGTTTGTTAATTAAACTTTTTATCTATTAAGTTCCAAACTGTAAATAAATAAACAAATTATGCTTTGGTTTACTTTGCATTTAACAGGAAAAGAAAAATTCTGATGAAACCCTACTGAAAGTCTTAATCTAATGAGACCTTTTTTGTTTTAACTGAATAGCTTACTAATTAGTGATTGGTCTAGCAATTTGTTTTTTTTGTATTGATTGAAATTCATCAGACAGCTATTCACTTGTGGTATTCGGTGGTTGAGTAACCAAACACTGATATGTACTTTAGTCTACCTTTTATGCTGAGTGCTAGGGGCAAATGAGTGCGAATCATCGCTTGAATTCGGTTGCATTCTGGTTAAAGAATTGATAATGTTGAGTTGATTCAGAGTCAGTGACAAATTTCAGTGTGCAACACTTTTAAATGAATTCGGGAATTTCATTGTTTAATGTGCAGGTCTATGGATTTGCATGCAATGTTGTGTGCTTATGAGTAGAACATCCATACAAAGAGAGAGAGAGAGAGAAGTTCATCGAATGACTTTTATGAAAACAGCTATAATATTTCAATCAATTAAGTGATCATATTATACATTTGATCAACAAATTTGAAATGAATTAACTAAGGATATATTATCATTGCATTACGAGTGAACTGTAATATCGAAACGTTGTAATGTGATCTGAACAGCCTTACAGCATGTCTTGTATTATCAGGCTGGATAAAATGTTATATAAACTAGTTGGAAGGGTTTATCATGAGCTGACATTGGTTAGAGAACCATTGGAAAACCTGGGAGTACTGCCAGACAGCTGTTTCGTCGTAGTTCGGGGTTCCTCTGCAGTACGCACTCACCGGAGTTCGAACCCAGGACCTTCTGGTTACAAGGTGAGCTCGTACTGAAAAAGAGTCCCAAACTGGTACGAAACAGCTGTCCAGTACTTTAGATTTTCTTATGGTACTCTAACTGATGTCAGCTCCTAATGAAACCTTCCAACCAATCAAATACAATCCCTACAAAACCAATACTTGGAAATGTTATATTAATTATTAGTCGGTAACCTATAGGCTCACTTATCAGTAAGTTACTGAAGATTTGGACCACAATTAATTAGGTGTGAGAATTAGATTGTTCGATAAAGTGTTTAACAATGCCTAATAAACTTCTAATTCTGACTATAATTTCAAATAATTGTCCATTCGTTCAAATAACCACCATATGAAACAGCATTTGTATAACTCAGTAGATATCTAAACAATCAAATGATTGTTTCAGATTTATTTGAAGAATTTAAGAAGTTGTAGCAAAATTAATTGATCTGGAAATCTTTCCATGAACAATCTATTTATTTTCAAGAGTTACTTTGTAGGGATTTGATTTGTTTTTCAGGTTTGACCACGGATTGAAATCACTTTGAGAAGCATTGAAAATCACCAGAGAGTACTGAAGAGCTGTTTTGTCGGCTGTACGCACCCACTGGGGTTTGAACCCAGGACCTTGTCTGCTTTTCAGCGGTTCTCTAACTGATATTAATCCGTAATCAAACCTGAGAAAAATGAAACCCTTACAAACTAACTCTTGAAAACTAGTCTGATACTCGCCAATGACTGGCTACAGGAGGAAGCTGCCTGAAGTTCTAGTGAGAAGATATGACCAGAGGGCTCCACCCAGTCAGGAGTGAGGACAGGTACTCGCTGATGACATCAGCTCGTATTTTTGATAAGACCACAGATTGGTAGAAGTTAAAATTGATGGGCTAATGGATAGGTTTCCAGTAATCCCCCACTTCCAGTGGTTCTTTAACTGATATCAAGTCGCAGTCAAACTTGAATCTATTTATCTATTTGGATTTTTCAACTAACTCTGGATTTTCCCTTTAGCTGTATATCATTGTTCTGACATTCGCATATCTCCTTTAAAATTGATTCTCATTATTCGTCTTTGTTTCGGATCCAACTTTAATTTTATCACTTCCTTTTTGCTGTTGTTTTATGGTGTTTATAAAGATTTTATTTCAGTGAAGTCAAGGTTGCTCCATGGAGTCACTGCTCGACCATGGGCTATCTTCTGGAAACGAGTGCCTTTTTCTATTTGATTCTTGCGGACAGAGTTTTGATCCTTCTTGCTGGAAATGTTCTTACTGATTATCAGGCTATTTATAATTATGTTTGGTCAGGTAAGTGTGTTATTGTATTTTCTGCCTGAGAAAATTTTGGACTGATGGTATCGTCTCGTATTTGGGATACGTAATTACTGCTGAACAGTACTACAGATTCTGTCAAATCAAAGTGTGTTTTCGATATTGTTGGAATAATTCTGAACTGTGTGTGTCACTGTACAGAAGAACATAACGATTGGTTTCCTATGTTCAAACCAAAATAATTGATTTTCAATCGTTACAGAAGTACTGTGGCAGCCGTTATCAGGAGAAAACAGTGAATGTTTAATAGATATGAAACGATATTTAATAATAATAGTTTGCTTTATTCCAAAACAGTACTTGTGATACAGAATGGAATTCTCAGCATTTCACTAAAGTATTGCATCCAATTAGTACATTATCAATAAATAAATTCTACACAGATTATGGGTAATCTCACTTCATTATGACAACAACATATTGGCATGTCGGTAGCAAAGCCAAAGTTGAACAGATTGTTTGAAGGTGTTAGAAAAGTAGATGCTAGCATATTTATTGGCGTAAGTGGTAACAAAAGGTCGAGATATACAGAGTGTGAGAGAACGAAGAATGTTTTAATAGAGTTAGTAAGGAAGAAAGAAACAGAGCAGCACATAACGGAAAAAAGAGAGAGAAAAAAAGAAAAGAAAGAAAACGTTGTACCTATAAATGGTATCAGTTGGAAAGACGAGATCCAGTTGTTCTACTGACTATTTAATAAGTTATAGGTTTCACGCCTAATGCTTTCTTTATCGCACAGAACACGAGCTAAGTAGAGTATGGTTGAGTTTTTGTACTTACTAGTACGAGCATATAGTTTTCTATATAGGCTTCTGGTTCTGCTTGATGAGATACAAGGAGAGAGTTGTGAATGAAGAGGGTGTTGTGAGTTAGATAAAATGGATTTAGCACATTTTTCACATTAGTCCATATGCCTGTCAACCAGAATATTAACAATCTGGTTAAGTGGCACGTTGCCTGCCCTGTTGACAACCTTTAACATCCTGAGTAATAAGGTATAGTCTTTCTTCAGTAACCCTGGAAAAACTAAGGGGGACAATAGAAAATAATAGGCAGAATACGAGAGTTAACGAATTGTAGGAGTAAGGGTTGGGTTATACCAGAATGTCTTTACTTCTTGATGTAGAAGGTAAGACGGAATATTTTCTTAGAAATCATCAAGATATGAGACGACCAGGAAAGATCAGCAGATAGAATGACGCCTAGGTATTTAATTTCCGACTTGGTTTCTATTTCAGTGCCATCTATGTTGCACACCTCGTGAGTTCTAACCAGTTTGTTTAGGTCAGATTTGTGCCTAAAGGTGAAATTGACTGTTTAGCATTTGGAGGGGACATCTAGGTACAGAGTCGGAAGCAGAAGTGGAGTCGAGAAACGTACAGCGGACGTATTTGGCACCTTTTATCTAATTATGAGGCGATACTGTTGTGTAAGACGGCTGCAGCGTCTAAAGTGCTCCTACCCTGTCTACAGGCAAATTGTTTGGGGTCTTCAGAGCTTTTAATGGAGGGTTCAATTTGAAGAAGTACTAGTTTTTCCATAAGCTTTAGAAACGGGGAGTAATGGCACGGGGTCTGAACTTTAATGTTTAGTTTTATTTCCACGTATTCAATGATTGAGACAAATACAGAAAAATAGATTGTTTATATTTGAGCAGAAGAGCTTTGATTAAAAGTTTATAAACTTCACACCAAATAACTACTTTTTAATGTTTTTCAAACACAAAATACTCACTGCGTTTCTTTCTCCCATAACACGAGTAGAATATGATTGCTGTGATAAGAAATACAATCACCAGTGCACATCCACCAGTGACAGCTAACGCCAACAACGATTTACTGAAAACGCCTCGATCTTTAGCTATTTCTGTAGTTGAAAGTGCAAAACAAAAAAAATGATTAATAAAGATCTAAAGGTATATGAACAAAATCAATTCATTTGAAGGACACATTCATGATAAATCTATAAAGATGTTTGTAGTTCCCGTTTTAAAAGAGTAGTATTCTAGGATGGATGTCATCGGAAACTGAGTTCAACTAACGAATAAGTTAAATCTATTAGTATTGTCTTGAAAAGTTTAGTCCACTAGCCAGATCAAGAATGCATGCTTCAAGTCAATTGGTGGATGGTGACTAGCAGTGGAAATCAGGATGCGCTTTTCGTCCTATTTAGGACTCGTCATCTGGATGTGCCTGCATTTCCCACTGAGTGGTAGTACTCCTACCGAGGCTCGAACCAAGTGCCCGTAGTTTCAAACACCAAAGCGTTACCCACTAGACTGTGCGGGTCATGTGAGGCACCTCTTTTGCAACTGGTCTTATTAGTTATTTAATTCAATTTAGATTTTCCTGTCGACCGATTAGACCAAAGTGCTTGGTTTCACGTTGTGGAGATACTTCGACAATGTTTGATCTGCACAAAGAGTCGACATGTCAACCTGAGACCAAGCACTTCGGTCCAATCAATCGACAGGAAAATCTAAATTGAATTAACTCATTTTTTCCACCATGTTTAAATCTATCAATTATTTTTTATATATGTCGTATAAATAAGCCTGTAATTTTACTGTTAAACGGACATTACACAAGCACACACCTAAAGTGGCAGTTGAAATATATTTAAGGTAATTTTGCCAACTGCTTGCTTTCGTGAAGTTTGGCATAAATGATTTCTTGAGTTCTTGCTAAAACTAGGTGGAATAAATTTCGTACGTCCAATGTAAATTATGGCTGAAGAGGATTTTTTGTTTTTGTATTTCGCGTTTGGGATAATATACTAAAGTTATCTTGAATTAACGAAACATTTTATTTAATAAATTTTTCTGTGTAGATTCCATAGATAATTATGATAAGCGAACTTCAGAAAGGCATACTAATACATGTTGTAAAACTTAAGCACTGTGGTGGTAAGTAATACCATATTAGTTGGTTTATTAGATGTATCACACAGTGAAGAAACAGTATTATTCACTGGATGACGTTTCGATGGCAAGACTCTAGAAGACCTGGATTTCCCAGATGATATATGTCTGGTGTCACACAAACTCGAAGACTTGCTTGCGAAAACCAGTTAAATGGCAGAAAGGGCTGGCAGCGAAGAAACAACCCCAGGTGAACATAGAGAATACAGAGGTGATGAAGATAGCCCAAGAACCGCAACAACAACCAGCACCAACCAATACCAACGGGAGAGATTTAATAGAGGTTACTTCCTTCACCTATCTAAGCAGTAAACATTGTTTCAACCACAGCCAGTAGGAACCCATCAAGATGTCAAAGTCAGAATCATAAAGTCAACATCCGCCTTCATCAATCTGAAACAAGTTTGAAAATCTGCTGCTGCCCTCGACAACATCAACAACAAGATTCGGATTTTCAGCAAAAATGTTAAGTCAGTCAGTGCTTCTATAAGGTTCAGAAGGGGTCTCCAACAGGTTACACACGTTTATGAACAGCTTTCACCTTCGCTGCCTGCATACTGAAGATCAAATGGCCAACCGGAAAGAATCAGCAACAAGGAACTGTGGGAGCGAACCAACCAAGAGCCGATTACTCAACAAAAATGTTGAGAAAATCAAGATCAATCGGGCATATATAGAGGAGGCCGTTGAATAAAATAGTACACAATGCAGGCTATCGCTCGAGTGGAATCCCAATACGGAGATTTGAGTGTGTCGTGGATGCAAAGGTGACATGGAGAAGATCGTTTGGGGAAGAGGAGATGAAAGATTATGGTCAAACGTGAACCCAGTTGAAGAGGACAGCACCAAATAGGACAAAGTGGAGATGTGTTGTTGAAGCCCTATGTTCCAATCGGAATCCAAGGGAATAATAATAATAACAATAATAGTAGGTTTCTTTTGTACGCCAAATGAACAACATCTGACTTCTATTTTCAAGAATTCAAGGTAGAATCCCAAAGATATACATTCTTCTTGTGATCTCGTCAATAGACTTCAACTCTAATTCTGACTTATTTCCAAAGTGACATTCAATATCCTCTTAATGCAAGGTTTTCTTTTTGAAAACTGATCATGAAATTTACTTACATACTATGCATAAAGACTTTTATAGTTTTACTTGGTTAAAATTAAAAGTTCTGAAATACATCGAACTGGTCTTTTTATCCGATAAATGACAGAGTTGAAAATTTGTTAAAATAAATCCAATTTAGATTTATTCAATTCATAGGACTTAAGTATTTTACACCTGTTCTGTTTAACATTATTAAATTACTAAAATCTATAATGTCAACTAACCTCCTATTGTTTATTCTGACTATTCACAGAAGCCCTAAATCAAGTACCTCTCATCTGTCAAACAAAAAAGTGGATGTTCGAAATCCTACAGGATCTGAATTAGGCTTTGAACTTCACAGTGATATTGGATCTGTGCGTAGATATCAACCTGGTAAGTATTCTTTTTTATTATTATCGATTGACCGGTCAAAAGATTTTCTGAAAATTTCTTTTGCTTTTGAAAAATGATCCACAAAATTGTATAAAGCAGGGTGAAACTGAACTAAAGACTTAAATAAAACTAATAAATTCTTCATATTTTGTTTGATTCACCCGTAGAATGGGTGAAACATAGGTACCTTTATAAGAAAGTGTTTGTAGAGGGACTTTGAAAACTGACAGTGGAAGTAGAGTGTATTAGCTCCATATTAGTTTGTTTATTAGATGTATCACACAATGAAGAAACAGTATTATTTACTGGATGATGTTTCGTGCAAAATTTACCAGTGTTCATAATCATTTCATCAATTATAATCATCACACGACTTCGGAACTTGAGTTTTATAGAAAAATTAATATGGAACTTTAGAAGGCATTTTGTCTTCATTGAAATAATTTTTTGATTGAATAAAAAGGAAAATTTTCTACTTTGAGTAGTACTGGTAAGTGGATATTTACATTTATTATGACCATTTCAAGCTGTTAAACACTTTGATTAAATGATCAGTAAGTTACAGTGAAGATAATAAGGACAAACTACTCTATGACCTAAATTTCATCAAAACAAACATGATTGTTTTAAAAACGAAGATAGTAACCTCTCAAACACATCACTAAAGACTGTCCCAACTACTAAACGAAGGTTATAGGGTTCTGTATTTCATGTTTCCTGACTGTTCTCTCTCTTAAATATTTTAATAAGCATTATTAAAAATGACAGAATATACTACCTACCTGGCTGCCATAATATAGGAGATGTTTCTTGTAGAAGTTTAGTGCCTTGAAATAAAAGGAATCTGAAATTATACAGTTGAATAGCATCAGATAAGTGTACTTCCATTTTTCCTAACCAAGGTTTTGCCACATGATAATCTTCACATCCAACAGATCGAGAACTGATCATTTGTTGGGTATTGTCTAGTCGATTCAGATCATTTTGGTTTGTTGTATTCCCCGAGTTGACAGTTCTTTTAACTCTCTTCTGGTATTGAACATCTTGTCTAACATGTTGTTTACTGACAGGTGATTTATCCAAGTGTAAAGGATTTGCTATGTAAGCATCACGTCGACAGACGCGTAGTATAAGCCTGGTAAAGGAGGATTTCATTGGAGGGTTAAATAAAATGCTTGTAGTTGATCCATGATGAATAATCTCGATTGAATCCTCCGTTATAACTCCAGCACCTGTTTCAGCAGTGAGATAATATATATATATATAATCGTGATGTTAATTTAATGGTTTTCATTTTGATTTGAAAACAAATGAAAATTACGAGTTCTTACTTTTATTAGAGGATATCTGATACAAGCTTTCTAAAATACAGAGTAATTATTTGTAATTAGTGAATTTTATGGTATTCTAGCAAATCAATATATTACTGAAATATATTTTTTATTCTTTTACGTTCCCAGTGTAGTATGCGTTGACCCCGAACTATATGAGGCGTGGTTGGCAAGCATTCTACCGCAGTACTACCGATGCATTACTGGAATATATCATTAGCTAAACAATATCTGTGCTTCATAAGAAGTTTCATAGCCTTAACTTTGTGAAATATGCTGATGATTTAACGGTTTCAATGGCTGTTAACTCCCAGCTAGATTGTACTAAAATAAATAGCTTTCTATCGGAAGTCAGCAAATGGTCTGAGTCTAACGGTCTTAAACTGAATCCTTCTAAGTGTCAAACTGTTGATTTCAGCTTAAGATGTAAACGACAGTTAAAAGAAGTCATCGATTCTCATGACACTTGTAAAATTGACGACAATGATATTGGAATCAAATCAGAAATTAAGTATCTTGGACTCATTCTCTCTTCTGATCTCTCCTGGTCTTCCCATGTCTTAGCAATCTCCAGTAAAATATTCCGCTTGACATTTTACATTAAGAAGTTAAGACACTCGGGTATAACTCAACCCCTCATCCTACAGTTCGTAAACTCTTGCATCCTACCTATTCTTCTTTATTGCTCACCCTTATTCTTTCCTGGTTTGCTTAAAAAAGACTATGTCACAATTCGTAGAATACTGAAGACTGTCAGTAGAGTGAGTGGTGTCCCAGTGGACCACATAGTTAACGTCGTTGTCGATAGGCATTTGACTTCGTGCAATAAATTTGCTAAAGGGATTTTGTCTGACTTGGAGCATCCGCTTTACCCTCAGCTTTCACCTTGCATCTCCTCAGGTAGAACAAGGAGTAACTTCAGAAAACTGTATGCTCGCACGTCTAAGTATAAGAATTCTATGATACCATACTTGGCACGTATTTTATGTGATGAAAATAGTGTCAGGCAAGAATTAACTAACCTTCTTTCATCTAGTAAATAAACAATTTCCTCCATCCATCCTTACATACCTTCAAGTTTTACTTTTATTACTTCTATTATATTTATGGTCCTGTTAATTCTCTGTTTTACTCTCATAATTGCAAACACCAACTTATCTCCATGACGGCTGTAATCTATGTTTTTTCCTTCACCATATCATGTAGAAAGAACATTATATTCAATATTTTTAAACATGTTAGGATTTCTATACCACATTGCCAATACTGTGTGACACAAGCCAACGGCAATTTTCACTTGTATTATTATTATTATTACTACCCTAGCTGTTATCATTATTATTGCTATTTCCATTTTATATGCTGCATGTTTTTGACACTACCTCTATTGTAAATGTGGAAAATTTTCTGTGTGATTAATTTTATTTATAATTTGAGGAAATTAGATGCAATATTGTGATTAATGCTGAAAATTCCAATCTGTATCACAAGTACTGTTTTTGGAATAAAGTAAATCATTATTATTATTATTATTATTATTATTATCTTTGTCTACTTTGCGGGACATCAATTCGTCGATGATATTGTGGGATGCGGAAATGAAAACTATCCTACCCCATGTCAACTTCTGCGTCTCTCTTGATATTAAATCCCTCTCATATATATACTTCTGAAGTTTTTTTGATTTCTAAATGATATGGTGTCAAGCCGGTCACATATGGCTGATATGTTTCATATTTATACAGGAAACAGTGGTGAAATTTCCCTTCAAAAGGTGTAAATTACAAATTACTAGTTTCATTCTGGATAAGTTATAGGTAATATATATATATATATATATATATATATATATATATATATATGTCCAAACCAAGTTCACTTTTAACAGTTTGAAAAAATTTGGGCACTGGATACGTGATATTCATCATAATAAAGGTTTTTGTATTTCCCAATGAACGTGCGCAGCTGAAGCCCTATGTTCCTCTAGGAACTAAAGGATACAATAATAATAATAACAATAATTTCCCAATGAATGAAAAACAAAACGATATTGTTTTTACTGACATTTCGCTATTTAATGCTAATAGCTTTATCAAAGTATTACAAAATCTCAGCATATTTATAACAAAGGGTTAAGGGGTGAGAAAATAGACTTAGGTCAAGTTAAAAGGACATATTGAAAGTCAAAATAACAATGAAGACCACTAAACCAAATATCAAAGGTAATAGTACATCTGTTATGATATCAAAACAAAGTTTACTACCTTGATCATCGTTCGTTAGTCTGAGGTCATTTTTCGTTGTCAAGTTGGTCAATTGGTAAAGATAACAAAACCAAGTGTAGATTGTTGGATTTGATCAGTGCGTGACATTATAAAGGTAGTGTGTGCTTGCATAGTGAACTTGCTTATCACGTTCCTGTTGATTTTTGTCACTTCGGTGGGGAGGGGAGGGAGGTGTTGTAACCATATCAGATTCTGTTTTAGTCCATCATTCCTATTCAGACAGTTTGGATTCCACTTGATATGAAGTGTTTCTGATATTAGACGTTCTTTGTAGTTTCTGAAGTTTTTCTGGATTATTTCAATATTGTCAAAATCAATTTTGTGGCCTGATTCTATAGCGTGTAGACCTATGGTTGATGATTTTTCAAGCATTTCTAGTTCAACTGGATTTCTTGGTGGTCGAAGAGATGCTGTACGGTGTTCATTTCTTCTGATTTTGATTTCTCCCTTGCAGGGTTTGTCCGGTGTAGATCGCATCACATTCCAAGCAGGTATTTTTTTGTATAGACACAAATAGATAGAGAATCTTTTGGGATTTGGTCTTTTATATGGACAAGGTTGTTTCGCAGTGTGTCTGATGTTTTGAAGAAAACTCTAATGTCGAGCTTGTTGAGTACTCTTCTGATATCGTCTGACGTATCCTGATGGTCTATATGGAATGATAACCGTTGAGGTCTATGTTTTCGGAATACATTTTCGGCCATACTTAATGTCAGTGTTGATTTTGTTGATGAAGTTCTTTGGGTAGTTGTTTTGCTTGAGAATTTCACTAATGTTTGATATTTCTTCTTTTTCTTGCTCATCAGTTATCAGAGAGTGTGCTTGTCTAAGAAGACTTGAAACAAGTGAAATCTTTGCACTGATAAGGTGTGATGATTTGAAGTCTAAATATTTTTTGTAGTGGGTTTTCTTCCTGAATATGGATATACTAAAATGTCCGTTTTCCTTTCTCTTAACTAGGCAGCCTAGAAATGGTAGTTCACCGACGTCTGATTCTGCTTCCGAAGTAAACTGGATTCTGGGAGATACAAGGTTTATTTTCTCCAGGAATGAATTGTGTAGATCTCGTTTTAGTACTACAAAAGTATCATCTACATATCTTAACCATATTTTAGGAGTGAGTATGCTGAGAAAGATGTTATTTTTGAATCATTTCATATATAGGTTTTATAGTTGAGAAAAACGAGTCAAGTTTTCAGAATGCTTCAGAATAGGCTCATACACTGGAAATTATTTTAAGTCATCAGAAAAGCTTAGTGAAAGTTATGATTAGACTCCTTTTATTGATAGTCAAGTAATCTATAAACCATATTCAGTTATTTTACATTTCTCATACTCCTGAGGTTAGTTCCCGTGTGTCATTCAACTAAGACTAAAGAATTATGATACTTATTATTCAGTAACCACTATCAGCTGTGATATGAACTATAGGTATTCGGATAAGTAAAATAATGTTATTATGAACATTTCTAGTTTTATTGTAGGATGGAGTATCTCATTTCAATTTTATACATTTCCTATCACCGTTCTTGACTTTACGATCTACTTGGTCAATGCACTAATATATTTACTTTTTGTTGTTAAGTGTGTAAGGGGAGACGATAACTGACTTGGTAACGTACCTTAATTAAAGAAAAAACATATATTTACATGTTCTTAGCCAAATTAGAGCTCAACTAGGTCAGAGGAGAATAGATTACTCTGATTGGTTGACAATTGACTCAAGGTAAATCAATTTGTCCAATGAGGTTATTTCATGTCCACAATGTGAACTAACTTTCCAGATTTGAGGTATAAATACTTCTAACTCTGCAGACAATGACTTAAAATATTGATTTCCATTTTGGACATTTCCCATCAATCTTTATCGCGCCAAAATCATATCAAAGTTGACGTTGATGTTACGCATAATGTGCGAAGGTGAAATGAAACCTAGGCTATGATAAGATTCTAAACTTAGGCCTCCAGATTAATAGCGTGAAAATCTGCTGGCTGATATTTAGTTGTAGTCCATAAAAAAAGTCAGTAAAAGCCTAAAAGGTTTCACCAAATGGGATTCACAGATTGAAGAGTAATTTTATACTTGAACTCACTGAAGAGAGGTTAACTTGGCTCACGAATTTATTGACAATAATTCAAAGCAATGAGTGACATTCATATTGACGAATAATATTATACAAATAAACAGAACATTCATATTCATAGATTTCACTTACCAGACTTTTTGATCAAGTAGAAAGTGAATTCTTTTACACCTAACTGATGACGAACTTGACAGATATATGTACCAAAGTCATCAGGCTTAACTTCTGTAAACCTGAGTAAAAAGGTGAGATTACCATTGAGACCAGTACCACGTGAAGCGAAAATATTTTTTCTCTGTCCTCCTTTTTGCCCAATCGACTGACGCGTATTTCGTCCTACAGAGAAATCTGCTGAACGAGACTCAGGGCGATGATAAGTTGCTCTTTTTACACGTGGCCATGATTCGTACGAATATGGATAGCCGTCGTTGTTGTATGGTGATTCAAAGTAGGCCTGAGATTCAATATATTGCTGTGGACCATTGATTTGTCTAACTTCATTTTTATACGTGTCTATTTGAAACCATTCAGCTTCTGCCCACGGTGGATTAGCATCTACATACAAGGCTAGAGTGACAGATTCACCTACTTGTGCCATTATATGAGTCTGAGTTCGTCGATTCATTATGGGTTGATCTAAATAATAATGATTGCACAATAGAGTTAGACATCAGCAAAATGAATAGGAACAGTTAACACATTATTGTTACAATTATTTCTAATGTTACAGCTCTCCTTCGCTAGCTAGCCGGTCATCTAGTGACCATAGATTTTGAAAAAAATCTAAAGCTCTCAAAAGGTAGTGTGGTAGTGAGCTCGTAAGGAATAAAAAACGAAGATATTGGGTGCATAAAACAGCTTTATTAGACATAAACGAGTACAGTTTGAAAAAAACTGGATGTTATTTTTATCAGGCCTAAAATACTTCTTACACGTGTAAGAAGGCCTTATCAGTTAACCTAGATTTATGTTGTACGAAAGACTAAAGTAAGCACTTGGGCACATACAGTCATTGGTATTTTGCCTGTTTGTGCACCACTTCTGGAAGTTAGTCAGGATAAGGTAACTTCAAAAGGTGATACAAAGAGGCGTCTACCTTTATTAATCAGCAACTGGTCAGGTGCTGTAATTCAAGAAAGTTTGTTTCATATACTTCACTGTAGGTGGTTATACCTTTATCACAGCGGGTATCTGCGCTGCAGTCTTAACTATCCGTCAGTCACAATTTTGCCACTTTCAGCTGTGATTTATTTAAGTACCACACAATTAAGGAGAAACAAGTATGAAACGATTTAGTGTTTTTTTCACCGTTACATCTACAACATGCAATTACTGTCACAGGATTTCATCATAGCCTGAAATCGGTTAGAGAACCATTGGAAAAACACTTGAGAGTACTCGACAACTATTTTGTCATAGTCTAGGACTGTTCAGTAGTACTCATCCACCGCCAAGGTTGGGACCCAGGATCTTCCGGCTATAAGTTGAGTTCATAAACTTTCAAGTCACTGGGACTCTATCCAATGGCCCATGAATTCCACCTTCTGCCAATTCATGAAATGGCGCGATTACCAGCCAGTGTCGTCGTTGGTGAGCATCTGTCTTCGCACCCGATCTGCTGGGCACGACATCTCACTAGAACCGAGGTAAATACCAACATGAATACAGCCAGTCGCTCATGTGGCATCCGATCAGATCGCGCTATTTCATGAATTAGCAGAAGGTGGAATTGATGGGGTATTGGATGGAGTCCCAGTGACTTGAAAGTCTATGGACTCATCTTGTAACCGGAAGATTTTCGGTTCCAATCTTGGTGATGGGTGCGTACTGTTGAACAGTCCAATACTATGACGAAACAGTTGTCTAGTACACTGAAGTGTTTCTCCAATGGTTCTCTAACCGATCTCAGGTCATAATGAAATCCTGTAACCAACTAAATAAAATCCTTTTAAACCAACACTTGAATTAGTTACTGTTTTACGTGAACCAGTGACCAATTCAATATCAAGAAAGGCAAGTTTTGTATTTAAGGTAAATTATTAAAACCATGGGCGTTATCCTTCGACATATGGGGAGACGAGAACTATGTAAATTGAATGTGAATGTTTAATATATCACACTGCTTTCCATTCAGTTTAAATATCATACAACTTTGATCTGCCAACTAACTTACTGGTTTTCAGTGGGTTAGCTAGAATTTGACGATAATTTGATGTTCTGTACATCATAAGTTGTAATGATTTGCTGAAAACTTATGAAATAAAATATGTGTTTATATTGCTTCTTTACTTCTTATTCAGTACTCCTTAAGACAAACAGAGTTCTATGTTAATTATCATAATTCTGTGTAATCATAACCAACCTCAAGTAGTTATTACATCTTTAGAATTTCAGAATACTTAAAACAATGTTCTCTTTGTTACAAATCACCCTCCAGAAAGTCTTAGTTCAGATGTGTTTTACATTTTGATCTTCAACGGTAAGGCTAACCGCCTAAGTTATATCTGAGACAACAACTTTTTGATTTTTTTTGGTGGAAAATTTCCATTGAAACATGTAGAAATTCAAAATAAGTGATTCAACAGAGAGACTGTTTTCAACGAATCATAAACATTTGAATTGTATTTCATACTAGCATTACTTTACGTATTCATACCGTTGTGTCGATTTCTCCATGGGATGTTATTTCTTAAAAAAACATCAACTTTTATTACTCAGTGTTAGTAGACTAAATCTGCTGAATTCAGGACTAGACTCGTGACTAATTCGTGTAAATGTTCCCACTTTTATTTACCATCATGAGATTTTAAAGCAAGTTTTATCGTTTGGAAAACAATACAAGCTATGTAATCAGATATAATGAAAAAGAAAAATTGTAAAAAAGGCAGAATAAATTCAACTGAAGTTCTGCGCATCCATGACCCAATTCGGGAGGAGACATTCATATAATATGACAGGCAAGACATCATTTAGTCACCCGACAGAGTTCCAGTGACACATAACTTCTAACTCTTGACCTTCCACGATGTAATGCTGCAGTTTAATCCCACTGGTGGTTAGATGTCGTCTCATCTAACTTAGTGAAGCATGTCAGTGATGATCTACCACTGGGTTTCTAAGATACTCTAATATTAATAATGGTTGGTAGATGTTAGAATTGTGGAGAATAATTTGACTACATTGTTGGTGTTCAATCCCAGTGGATTCCTGTTTCTAACAGAGTTTGTTTCAAAGTCGGTCAAGAAGCAGGGTCAGTCCCTTTGAACCGTGTTTCTTAAAAAGGAATAACTATTGGTTCTTTCATTTAACCAGTAGGGACAATATTCAGTGTGCAGGTTAAGTTTTCTATAAACTAAGCCTAAATTCAGTTAAATCTTTAAAATTTGAGCACACATTAGACTTGCTGGCCAACGTGCCTATATTTCCTATTTCTTTTTTTGTTTCAAAAGACTTTGTTTATTGTATTTACTCATAAAATAGTGGTTTTTTAATCGATTGAGTAAATTTTTCACAGAAACATTATATATCACAGTACTTCACGTGGAATAAAATCATAAAAAATCCTCGTATATGTTTATATTGTCTTCTACCTGTTAAACATTTAGATTTATTATGCAAATAAATTTTGCGGGTTTGTTGATCATTTAATCTATAAAATATGCTCTATTACCCCTAATTAAAAGTCTGTTAATTGTTAGATTTTAAGTTAGTTGGTAGTTAGACTCCTCAGTGTATACTTCCGACAGAAATATTGATCATTAATTATGCTTATTTCTTCTCTTCCCACATTGGTAAACACTCATTCTTTTCATAGTAAATAAATATGCATGATATCCTTCTCCAAACAATACAATAACCATTAGTAATTAGAACGATGTGTTAATTCGACAAGCAACAGAAGAACTTACAATATAAATCAAGATAGTGTAATGCGTGTGAGCTTCCTCCAACACCAGACACTTCACAACCATACCAACCAGCTTGTGATAATTTAATGTTTGTCAAATTCAAAGAGGAGTCATGATAACCTGTCAGTTGAATCATACTGGGAAATTCTGGTTTTTGGAGTGTATGCAATGGAGGTGATAAGAAATGATTTGGTGGCGTAGACAAGCTTGGTGAATTATTTGTGATCATTTGATCATTTGAATTGTCTTTTAAGCGTTTGACATCATCTTTTTGATTCAGTAAACTAGAGAATTGTGTTGATTTGCCTACAAACCATGCATATTTCAAGTTGTTTAGGGGATTTCCCCCTATAGTTTGACAGAATAATGAAACAGATTGTCTTGTCACTGGTTGATTAGGAAGACTGATGATATGAATAGATGGTGGGTCTGAAAAAGATAGTACATTTTGTAAATCAAAAGTGAACGGATAGATTATAGTCTTTGATCTGGTTTTTATGACACTGGAGAATAAGTGTAAAGAAACTGTATTTTTTAATGAATGGGACATAGTATTTTGGGATCGGTTTTACTTATTTATAATGGTTTGGACGTGATAACCGGTGACCATCCTACTTAGAATGCAAAGATAACACACTGTAAGACGTTCAACCCTAATTTTTCTAGGGCTCAGTAGTCTATAATGAAGATCATTTACATGATGGAACGAGACGATTTTAGGATATTGGTATCCGTCCATGAGGAAATTTGTGTTGAAACTAATCATAGTGCCATAGTTCCCTGTCGCTAATTATCACACTTTCAACATGGGCTTGTGCAAAAACATTTGGAGGCTGTCATTCACTAAAGACATTATAAGAAGATTGATCTTATCAGTTGGGAAGGCTTTCAAAATTATCGTCAATTTATAGTCATAGAGTATCATATAAACTGAATAAGAAACCATACACTGGTTAGTAAGCTTAAAGGTCTTGAAGCAATTTGACCAGATAGTTCTTTCCCTCTCTCATCACCGGTATTTAAAGGAAGAAATCCTCTTGATTGTTTTGAAAATTATATAAGTTCATGTAACATATCAGAGTGATGCAGTATTAGTGACACGACAAGAAAATCTTCTCATCACCATTTAATGATTCTTACGTTAGAATTTCAGTCTGATCTGAATATAACTCAATGGAATATTAGGACACTTAGACAACAGTTTCGACTTGCTCTGGTTGCAAATAAAATCTCATTAAACAATCTGTTTGTTGTCTACGTTGCTTTCTAGATGATCAATATGTTTGTTTAGTGAACTAACCTCGAAGTCTTTGCACACATATTACATGATAGATTAAGGTTTTTTCAACATCATTTCGTTTTCGTCTCTGAGCAATCATTCTATCAAACGTGCTTTATAACTAAAGGTGACCATATCTGCTGCTGAAAGCTTACCAATAGGTGATTTTGCGTGATTAAACTCATCTTAGAATGAAATACTCAAAGAATTATTCAGATGAATAGGAAGATGTTAGGCATTTAATTGGTGAGTGTTCATTACAAAAAAATTGGGAGGGATGAATCCTGCTTGCCTGTCTGACTGACTGACTGGTCTCAACATAGAACTTTGAACCGATGTGCAGCAGTTCGAGTCGTCACACTCCCTCCTTGTAGCACACAAAGCAAGAGAAGAAAGTAAAAAGAAATGCAAAATAGAGGCAGTAAACAGAGATATGAGGGAAAAAGAATGGTAATATGGAGGATCCATATAGTTTTATTGGGTATTATAAGTCAAAAGGTGTGGATGCATTTGCGCTATCGAGAACAATCACCTTGAGCCATATCACCAGTTGTCTGCAGCCGTTAGTATTTACCGTCCCGAGGACCCCAACCAATCAGGAAGCCTACAACTCCCTACGTGGCTGGCTTTAACTAACTGTTGTGGATTTCATTGACTGATGAATCCATGTTTTGGTTTGACCGCCGCTAGCTCTTTGCCAACCGTACCCTCTGTCAGCTAACATTAACCGTCGAGGAAGGTGATGGCTAGGCATACGTAACACATGTCCCAACCATCTCCGTTGATGTAACTTCACAGCCTCATCCGTTGATTTCCCCTTTTTACGTAGCACTGGACCGATGCCTAACCTCAATATTGCTCACCCTATTATACCATTTCCAACGGGAGATAGAACGCAAGCACCTATGATCAAAGACAGATAGCCAGCCTTCTCATGCCTTCCACTCTCAATGGCTAGGTCTCACAGGCACAAAGGAGGACGGAGAGGACTGCTGAGCAGTACACACGCCGTTTGGTCGTTAACCAGCCGGATATCACATCTACGCCAGAATTGTGCCTAAATATGAAAAATAAATTACAAAGTGAAAGTCAAAAGAAATGAGGGAAAACTTATTTATTATGAATATACTTACACAAAATCTGTAGTCTGTGTTCAGTCAGAACTGGTTTGTTCATTCCTGTATGATTGACTAGACATTGAAAAATTGTATTTTGTTGAGACCTGTAGGTTTTCGTAATAATCAGTGTACTGGACACCTTAGTTCCCCCAAAATCACCTTGTTTCTATTCAATTTATAATTTCAAAAATATCAAAGAAGAGATTGCATCCATCAGTTATTTCTATAAAAGGCACATTAATAAAATTCATAGCTCATACTTGATTAATTTATGTTAGTTATCAAGATGGTTTTTGAAATATGTGTTGATCATGCCAGTTATGAAGGATTCTCGATAGTACCCGTCTACTGATAGCAGTCTTTTATACATATATATATATATATATATATATATATATATATATATATATACATTCCCAGTGGAACATAGGGCTTCAAGCTGGAGGCTTGAAGTTTCGGTAGCAGTGGTGTTTATTTTTAGAGGGTTGAGTTGCTAGCCTCATGCCCAGCCCAACCTTCCCTCTTTACTAGTCTTATCAATGGCTTAGCGACGTTTGGGAGTGAGTCGGCCGGTGATTGAACCCTAGACAACATGCGTGGTTAGAGAGCATTCTACCACTGTGTCTCCGATGCATGCCTTTTATGTATAAATACTATAAATTAAGTCCTTCCCTTCTAGAGACGAATCTTAAATCACTAATTTATAATGAGAACAAAAGCAAATTAATTTCAGATGCTCCTGTATAATATTTCTATCCCTAAGGATCATTATACAATGACGTTATCAGTTTCATCTTTGAACAGAAATCGAGAATAAGTGCCAGAGATTTTACTGTCGTTAAGGGTTTTGGCAATGTCACATTTGATGTATGGCGATAAACAACTTCAGAAAAATTTGACTATTGATATCAAGTAGTTAGAGACGATCAGTAGGAAGTCTTAGTTTTACCCTTACTGGTAGTCTACTACAGTAAGGTATATCTGAAACCTTGAAGCGGCTGTTGTTCCTTCGAATTTCCCATGGAGAATCATATTGACTTGGTTAACACAACCTGACCAACTTCACCAATAGAATTCAGTCAGTAGGAATATTAAAGACCGGAAAACTGACAGGGGCTATGCCTTAGTGACCAATAAGTGAGTACTTTTGGCTATACAGGTTTGATCCGAATTTTACTGCAAGTAGTTGGAAATGAAGCAGCGAAATATATATATATATATATATATATATATATATATATATATATATATATAGTTACATCTACAGTAGCAATGAAATCATGAAAACTTAGGCATTTCTTCTATTAACCTACAATTATTTACGATTAGTTATGGGATGTTTTAGCATGAAAACAAATCATTAGTAATGTATCAGTAGTAAAAAGGTATTTACGCCTACAGAACAACTGTTGTATAACTTGAACCTTTAGAAGAAAATAATCTATGGTAAGGGTATTACTCTGTTAAACTATTATGAATGTAAATTTGATTCTACTAATCATAAGATGGATGGTATCAATCAGTAATAGATTTAGGTAGAGTAGTATTATAAGGTGAAAGAAAACGATTCAGAGATTTAGTTCATTAACATCCTGAATCTTATTATTATAAAATGAATCTTGCTGTGTTCACTAATGAACACCTAAAAATAAGAAAGGAGATAATTAATTGTAGTAATACTGATAATATTTTGCTTTACTGGTACTTTTAAAGTTACACGTAATTAGTGTTTTAAATACCGTCTTTATACAGTCTTCCTTTTTGCGCTACCTATATTTTTTATTCCCCTACTTAACAGGCTACTAACAAGTAGTATTTATTGATAGAAATGTTTTTTCCTTGCAAATGAAAATAATAACAGTAATAATTAGACTGAAATGAAAGGCAAAACAAATTAACACAACCCGCTTACAGTTTCTAGCTGGGCAAGATCAGTTAATTCATTTGAAAATAAATTTATTCGTTGAAACAATTCTTCAGTATTTTTATTCTTTTCTTTTATTTTATCTGGTGGTATTTCAAGCCAACGTATCACAGCAGGTGGATGACAAGAACTCGTAGAACATGTCAGTTCCAAACGACTAGCTTCTGGAACACCATTGATTGGCTGTGCTGTTAATCGTATATTATTAGGGGAAACTGTACAGATAAGACAAAAAAACCCCACATCAATAATTTTATTTAATTCATAGTATATATATATATATATATATAAGATTATTATAGAGGTAAATAAAGCTAATAAACACTTATCGTGGTAGTTTAAATCTTGGTGTTTCGCTGAATAATGTAGGGTGTAGGATTTATCTGAATTCTTCAAAAGATTAACGATTCTCTGTTTTTGATGTAGTTGGGTTCTTTGAGTTGGATGGTTTACTTGCGAAGCTTTCGCTGCCTTGCTAGAAAACATCTTCAGAGCATTCTTCAATTTGAAGTATCCACTACTACATCAAAATCATCCACCTCAGCTACAATTTGTTTTCATTATGTATAATTCTTTGTGCACTAGGCGATGAATCACCTTTCACGAGAGTCGACAGTGACTCGACTTAATAGTAGAGAGTCAATATAATGGTGTCCGCTATTCATCAACCAAATAATGTGAAATAGTTCTGGTAAGACGAATGTTGGCCAGCAATCGAACACATATCGCACGTTTTGATCCTACTTCAGAATTATCACCTGTACGTATTGGTCTTTCTACTGTGCTTTGAACCCAGCACCGAATATCCACTCGATTGGTAATTCAGGGAAAAATTATGTTGTGAAATAGGATGGTTTACTGAAAACATGTAAGGATCTATTGCAAGTCCTAAAGTTTAATCATTCATTCTAGTCATATTTTTAATTAACTGCACCTGAATAATTTGAGTGATCCAAGTAGATATAAGGAATTCAACACTTGACTTTGATTGATGTATTTTCACGATTAGGAGATTATTTCCCTCGAAATATTCGAACAAAGCCAAACAACAATTAGAAATATAAAAGTAAATAATGTAGAAAGAGGTAATTTAAAATTGCGAGTGCCTGATAATACATGAAATAAGAAGAACAAATCAGTCAGGAACACTTTTTATGTTGTTTTGAGATGAAGGTGTTACCATGACAACGTCGATTAACAATAAAAGTGTGAAAGATAATACAAAAAGTAAATAAAGTCAAAATTAGAATGGTTTAGGAACCTACAAAGAAGACAATAGTTTATAAAACTGTCAATACTCTTTACTTCTAGATCGGAAATCACTGGAATCAAATCTGCTATTAACGTCGTGTAGATTATATGACCTTATTTTGTGAGATTATGCATAATAGGTTAGTTTTCTGAAATATTTCCTAAAACCCCAGATAAGAAGCTTGGAGAATATTCTAACATAAAAATTCTGAAAACAGATAACAGTAGTTACTTAATCGTCACTCCATTTCTACTGACGGTGATCTGTCTCTTTCTAACAGTTAGATCCTGAGCATTGTGTACTGTTGAATTCTCATTATATCCTTAGATGTAGAGGTGATAATACTAAAAAGTCTGTTGATCTTCGTAAGACAGACAGATAGACATAAGTGGTACAAGCGTTTTTGAAAACTAGCTAATACCCTAACGACTAAAACACAAAGTCCGTGTATGGTCGGACAGTAGGCGTGGCTTTGTAATTAATAATGTTAAGAAAAATACGACTTTAGCGGAGGTTACTTCCTTCACCTATCTAGGGAGCATCGTTTCAACGACAGGTGAAACGGGTGAAGATGTTAAAGTCAGCCAGTTAGAATCGGAAAGTCAAGATACACCTTCAACTGTCTGGAACCAGTTTGGAAATCTTCTGCTTCACTTACTCAGCCAGCATAAAGAAAAAGATTCGCATTTTCATCACCGATTTCAAGTCGGTCCTTGTATACGATAAAAACCACCTCTGGCGCTTAGTGAACTTGTTTCACAGAGGTTTACGGCATATCATCAACCAGCCTTTATAATATCAGTTTACTAAAATTCACTAAGTTTACTGAGGGTCTGGGTAAACTTTCCATCTAAAGAACTCAGTTATAGATATTTACTTCAGCCAATATTGACTACTTAACTCATTAATAATTCTCTGGAAGCAGTAGACGGTTGTTAATTAGCTCATGAAAATTAAGTTCACAGGGTTTTATCATTAGTGAAGCTTAACTTAAGATCATTATAACGGTACCCTGTATAACAGTGAAAATTAGTATTTCCGTTGATCACAGCTTGAAGTATTTTACGTTTTTAGGTCCTTCTAATATATATCAGCGCATATTTACTTGACATTATGCATTCAGACAAAGATTACTTTTCAGAAATTAGAACTAATTCTAAAATACCTCAGTACACACTCAATATCTCATTAGTGAAATAGTTGGATGCGGTCTTGACTCTTTGATATACTTTTGTTTAACTGTGTTTATTGGAAAAAGTTTTGGATTTTATATGATTCTCTGGATCTGAAAGCGTCTGTTTTCTTATAATCTTAGTGACGAAATATTCCTGAGGTTTTGTATCTAGCTCCTTTTAATATTGATATCTGAAAGAACAAAAACGGGTTTCAAACTTTGAATGTGAAGAACCTACTAAATCAAAACTCGCAAATTAAATATTTTCATTAGTCAACTTACACATAACTTCCAAGAAACCTTCCGATCGAAGCATAGTTTTTGAGTCGTTAAATACAACTGAGCATTCAAAACGTCTTCCATTTAATGCTCTTGTGGCGAGAACAGTTAGATTAGAACGTGTAACAACAGCTCCATTGGTTTGTTTATTAAAATCGACTTGTATAGACATCTTCAAACTTTCAAGTGAAATAACTGCACCAGCAGAATCAAGCTGTTGCCATTTAAGTATAGCTGGTGGATTACTTCCCATACTATCTGTTTGACACATAAATGTTTTCTGGGTTGATTCAGGTATCAAACCTTCAGGAAACGATTGAACATATACTGCTCGTGGAGGGACTAAAATAAAATGAACGTGGTAAAATGTTATCCTAAGTTACTAAGGTTACTTGTTAGTAGTATATGAAGAAAAAACTTCAAATTACTTGGTAATATTTTTATTTTTTTTCCTTCACGTCCCCCAGTGGAACACAGGGCTTCAAACTAATGGCCCGAAGATTCTGTAGCAGTGTTTATTTTACAGGATAGGGTTGCTAGCCACATTCCCAACCTTTCCTCTTTACCATCTTTTTATTTCTGGCTTAGCGAGATAAAGGAGTGAGACGGCTGGGGATCGAACCCCGGACCATGTGCATGGTCCGTTGGTAATATTAAAAAACTTAAACGTTTCCAAAGTGTTTAAGTATGGTTTGATCAAAGTGTAGTAGTAGGCAGTATCAAGAGTCTGGATGTTGTTCACCGGGAACTCACCAACTAACCATCTTTTAATTGTTTGTGAGTTCAAGCAAATGTAAACTATCTCCACTTTTCTAAAATCCTGTTAGTAGATAAAAGTGAGGCTACTCTATCACAATAATCTCAGTAAATTCATAAAAATGTAACGTCAACATGCAGGTATAAATAAGGACTATTCTGTTAATAAAATGAAGCGTAATTGGTGTAGAATGGAAGCCCCAGGCTAAGTAGTATAAATATACATCACTTAGGTTTCCATAACGTAGCAGAATTTTCGCTCAAGGTAATGGTATAAACATAATTATAGTACTGGATAGCTGTTTCATCCTAGTTTGGGACTCTTCAGCAGTACGCACCCACCGGGGCTAGAACTCAGGACCTTCTGGGTACAAGGTGAGCTCCTAGACCATTGAGCCAATGTCTTTGGCGAGTATTTGTCCTCACACCCGACCCGCTGCACCCTACTGGCCACGACTTTTCACTAGAGTCCTGGGTAACTACCTACCTGAATAGGGCAAGTCGCTGGTGAGCATCTCATCGATATTCAAGTGTTGGCTAGGAGTCACGCTATATTGTGTATTGGCAGAAGTTAGAATTCATAGGCCACTGGACCGGGTCGCAGTAGCTTAATGGTATACGAGCTCGCCTTGTAACCAGAAGGTCCTGGCTTCGAACCCTGGCGGTAAGCGCGTACTGATGAAGAGTGCGAAACTGGGACGAAACAACTGACCAGTACTCCCTGGCAGGTTTTCCAATGTCTCTATAACCAATGACAGATCATAATGAAATCATGTAACCAATCAAATTCCTACAAACCAACAATTGCGAATTATAGTAGTTTAGTTTTCAATTATTGGGAATCTGGTTAGATGTACACCTCTAGTTGTGCTAACTTATTCTTGACCAACGGAAGGATAAAATTCCCTTGTAAACCAAGAAGAAAGCAAATTCACAATGAAATCATTCCGATTACATTTCCTAGAAAAGAAATAAAGTCACTTCCTCTTGAGGTAACCTAACTGGTTGGCAATTGCTTCATGGACAGGTATTAGGCTATCTAACACCATGTTGAAGATAACATTGTTTTTCTACATCGACTGCAACTGCCCGAAGTATCCTAACCGATGGACAGTTTTATGTCTCATAAATAATAACTTATTCACCTAATGTGCAAAAGAATAAGTCAGAAGCATAAGAAACACAAGGTATCCACAAGAAGTAGAAGAACAATTTGAAATTAAACTGGCTCCTGGTTCCAGTCCAATCACGAAATGTGTTATGTCTATGTATATATGTAACATCACTCACCAGTAATTGGTGATAAAATCGTTGATTTTAAAGGAATTAGAACTCTTAAGTATATATCCGAGATTTTTTTTCAATTAAGCATCACTGAAGTACTGAGTTCGTAACCGTTACCTTCACTTTAACTATGACGATGTAGGTGCTTGAATTTGGCTTCAAAGTCAGAAATTTTAAAATTTTAAAAAGTTTATATTGGTGGAACTTTGAGCTTCATGTAGTATGACTTTATTTGACCTAGGTCTCTGTTTAAATTTAGGATTCTATTAAGAATGATGTCTTAAGTTAAAATTTATGTCAGAAGTTAATTGGTGGATGGTGACTAGCAGTGGAATCCAGGATGCGCGTTTCGCCCTGTTTGGGACTCGCCGAAGCATCTTCACAAGGAGCTGACGTGTCGACCTGAGACCGAGCACGTCGATCCAATCAATCGACGGGAAAATTTAAAATTGAATCAAACAAAATTTATGTTGTTTCATTTTTTAATAGCTAGAAGTGAAATCCTTGGCGGACATTTCGTTCTACTTACCTCCCCTCCAGTTTGAAATTTAAAAGTTTTGTGATTGACTAGCCTAGTGAATAACGCTTTGGGGTTTGGAACAACAGGCGCTACATTCGAGTCCCAATGGGAACAGTGAACTGCAGTTAAATCCACTTATCTAATCGTAAGCTGGATGAAGGCGGAATTCCAGATTGCGCTACAAACTACTAAGCAAATATATCAGTAATGCTTAATAGTTCCTTTCATTAGATTGTTATCACAATAAGACAAAAATATGTATAGATTCATACATAGACAGATACACGTAAAAAAAAGCAAAGAAAGATAATTGTTTTGTGTTAGTCCGAGATATTTTCGACAAATTATTTTTAATAAACTGAGAAAAAAAAGTGAAGAATAAATTTTAGGAAATACAAAAAATAGCAACTCTGTAGTAGTAAATTAGTTCTGTTTAAGTGTAAACTATCTCCAGTAGTGGAGCACAGCAGGATACAGACAGATAGAACAAACAAACTGTGCATCAAGCTTTGAAAAAGAAAAGTTCTGGATATACATATAAAGATGTATGTAGGAAGATATACGTTTTCAGTTGCCTAGCCTAGTCTTTTTCCCTCATTGAAATAATTCTACTTATCAAACATTCTGATTGGATATACACGCATCTGATTACTTTAATGCATGATACTATTTTTTTTTGAATGCATTGAACAAGTGTGTATTTCTTCTCCTGGGCAAGTCACGGCTGTAATGGCACAGGGAAGTGTACAGGTTGATTGCATTTGTGTATAAAGCTTATTTATTTGTTCATAGGCGAGATTAATATCTCAATTTAAGTGGCGCCCGTATCTAAAGATCATATATATATATATATATATACACTTTTCGACCTCACGAAACACAGAGTAGTTGTATATTTCTTTATTACCTAGCAAATATGTTGAAAATGTGGTATAGCATTTACGTTTTGTATGCCTTGTACAATTTCTTCCATACGCCTTATCAAAATGATTAATAGTTTCGATAACACAAGTATAGTATTTTTGATACAGTTACTGGAATTCAAGCGATGATCGCATAAACAATTTGCTTGTTTGCTTATTTTATGATATAAGTATTTATAAAAGGATCAATTAAAAACCTGTTTCGAATTTCTACTGATGAAAATAATTTTCTGCTTAAAGTGAAGATTATAGCATATAACAAATGATAAAACAACAATAAGAATGCGAAGAAAGATTTAGGAGAATAAAAAAATTCGACACAGTTTTTGGAGTGAAAGTTTTATGTCTCTCTATAAAGCATATTTTTTCGCCTTTGTTTTATAGAAATACGAAGCAAACAGCCACCGAGATCATTTTTTGTGTTTATTATTATTATTATTATTGTTCCCTTGAGTTCCGAGGGGAACATACGGCTTCAACAACACATCTCCCCTTTCTTTTTATTTTCTGCCGTCCTCTTCATCTGTGTCCACGATTTCCCATAATCTCCCACCCCTCCCTTCTCCACATGATGTCCCCCATGTCACCCTCGCACCGACGACCCACTGGACACTTCCCATTGGGATTCCACTCGAGCGATAGCCTGCACTGCACGCGATGTCATTCGACAGCCTCCTCAACGTTATGCTCTATGCTTCTCCATTTTCTCCTACATATTTGTTGAGCAATCAGCTTTTGGTTGGTTGGTTGGTTTGTTCCCAGACAGAGTTTCTTGTCGCTAATTCTTTCTGGCCGGCCGACCGGCCTTTTTATCTTCACTATGAAACCAGCGAAGGTGGTAGCTGTTGATGAGAGTCTGTAATAGCCTGTTGGAAATCCTTTTCGTGACTGACACGCAGTGCAAGTTTCTGGCCCGTATAAAAGGACCGATTTGACAGTAATGTTCAAAATCCGAATCTTGCTCCTTTTGCTGAATTTAGAAGACTTCCAAACTGGTTTGCGTTTGATGAAGGCGTATCTTGCCTTTTCGATTCTGGCTGGCTGACCTTGACATCTTCATCTGCTCTGGGTACCTGTAGTTGAAAGGATGCTTCCTAGATAAGTGAAGGAAGTAACCTCTGTTAAATCTCTCCCGTTGATGGTGATTAGCGTGGTGAATAAGTTAATTATGACGGCTAATTCAGGGAACAATAGGCAGCTGTTTCTTTCCACTCTCGACTCATTTCCACTACAATCCTAAGCCGTCGAATTATATTATTAGCGTAACTACAAGATTATATATAGAAAACACTCCACTTCACACAAAGTACAGTAAATGAAAAGAGAGGCGACACCGAAAACATAAAAAATTTAATAAACAGTATTAGCTTATAAGTTTACATTTCAATTCACAAAGTGCAGTCACCAGACACTTTGTAAATACAGAGCTGATGAGAACCTGTGATATCGAATGACTTCATTTATTACTAAAAGTGTGATCTTTCTCGCTTCATCGAAACTGATGTGTATGAAATACTCATTTCATTATTGCTATAGTTAAATAATAAGTCTTTGGTGGACAGTCATTGTGACTGAAACATGTTTGTCAATATATATATATATATATATATATATATATATATATATATATATATATAAACTATTATTCCTACTCGGTTCCCAGTGGAACATAGGGATTCAGTAGAGCATCACTATTTCACCGAGTTCTCTGATATCCTCTTTAGCTGCCTCCCCGATTGCCTATGACCTCTGATCTCCTCCTCACACGATCTTCCCCATGCTCCATAGAGAGCAATTCGTCGTTTCCTTTTCAAAGTCTAGTCAGGGGCCTGGCGCGTGGGGTCAATCAACGGTCTTCTCAGAATGTGTCCAATTCGTCTTCATAAAATTATCTCTAGTTCTAATATCTACCCAACCAAAAATAAATAATCTAAATCTCCTGAATGGAGTAGAATAATAAAAACAAGAATGTATATATTTGTTTGGACACTAGTCAGTAACTAGTGTAATGTGTCTAGTCCTATCTTCGGTGCAGACTGAATTCTATCAGTCAAGCTTGCGACGTGACCGACACGCTAGTTGGCTCACCATCACGGTGCTACGTGAATTTTTGGTATCAGGTGGTTGGAGGCAATCGGCCACAGGAAGCCTTCCGACTAGATTTCCTCCTAGTTGGCACCACCTGTCAGCCAGGCGAATCTGCAACCTCGAAGGAACTCATGTCCCTTCTGAGATTCAAACCCGCGTCACCCAGTGAGTACTGTAGTCATAGACGTTACCACTAAGCTATACAGGCTTGCTATTTACCTCCTATAGGAGTGTATTGGATATTTTTGATTGGACACAAGGCTTTCTGCCGATCGCCTCTAAGCATTTTATATATATATATATATATATATATATATATGGCGATATCATTTAGAAGTAAATTCATTGTGAAACCAGCCAGTAATATTTACTTAGAAGTATTTCAACAGGATGAATTTGAATTACTTTTGTTTGTTGCTTTCATATACAGACTCTCTTATAAACCTCGGATCTGCTTAGTTAAATACGAGTTTCAGTTCTATGTTTACTTCTGCATGACCTTATTTCTTACCACTGTGTTTCACTTATTAATCGATCTGTTTGCATTAAACGGTTGTTAAGATCTATTATGATCGTAAAAGAAAACAATCTACAACAGTGAATTATTCAATTAGTAGTAATAAAGTAAGATGTATGCACCAAAATAATTATTACCACAATTTAAACCACTAAGGAATACACAGAACAGAATAATTACACCGGTAAGATCAAATAAACAAGTAATGGCTGTATTCTGATTATTCAGCTTAATGGGAAGATACGTACGGTGTAAATTTGATGATTGTAGATAAATGGAATATTGAAAGAAGCAAAATGCGAAGTCAGCACATTATTTGTGCTTTCAGTGTCTACTATAATGACTTAACAGTTACAAGATGGTAAATGAAACTGGGGAAATCATACAACAGTGCCATTACTTAAATTTTGGTGCCAGTGTATTGATTCATGATTGTTGATTTTTTTTATGGATCGAATGTTATAGCGAAATGAATTTGAAACAGAGTTTAATTAGCCAAAAATAACCTTATGAAGACGTAATTCCACTTAATTTCAAAGATACAGACGTCCACTTAATCGATTTAGCGATGAGTACTGTCGTTTAGACATAGACGGATATGAAAAACTGGGAGTGGTAGTAAGCACATTACGGATGGGACGTTGTGGAAGGATTCAACGCCACATTCATGTCATTAAAGGCTAAAAATATTCCTATACCTCTTGTGTTTCATTAGAGGTAATTTATCAGTAGTTGATTGTTAGTCCACCTGATGAGATAGAGGAGATGAATCTGTTCATCACAGCAGATATTAGATAACACCATACTGATTAACGTTGTATTTCATGTTTACACAGGTAGCTCGTAATATGACTACCATTTTTTTCGTTTGATCAACAGTATACAAAGAGGGTAGATTTATATCCCGAGATAAGGACATTTATAAAGCGTTACGCAATGTCTGACATGTAGTCGTGTTTTAGTCAATACTTGTTTCATAAAGAAACAAGATGTCTTTGATAAAGGTAAAGGTCTAAAGTAGAATATTTCCTATAAGTATAAACTTGGACACTGTGGTGGGGTATAACTCCATTATGGATAAAATTTTATTTTGATAAAACCACACCAGCAAGTATTACTCTACAGCACTGGATGATTTTATCAATATAAAATTTTTATCTTTAATGGAGTTAGAATATTTACTCATCTCTAATGCTAAAGGATTGTAGTTGAGGACAATTATTGCGTCATTGGTCGATACCACGCAAAGTAACTTAAGGTGTGCCGTAAGAGATTTATTATTGACTGGTAAAGCTAGACCATTACAGATCAGTCAGTTGATTGAACTAATTGATGGCCTAGAAAAACTGATAGTGTTGATCCCCCTGATATCATCACATTACATGGATAAACAGAAATGCATTTTCGGAGGATATATATATATATTTTCCTTTACGTTCCCCAGTGGAACATAAGGCTCCAAGCTAGAAGGCTTGAAGTTTCTGTAGCAGT